ATGACTAGATCATCACATGAATAAGACCAAGAACTGCAGAGACCATGCTCTTCTGTCTTCAACTGGTTTATAAAAATCTAAAGTATTTTGGAAATAAGCTCAAAAGACCATCCTTAAAGCCTGTGACAAAAAGAGTACTAGAGCAGTGTTCTCTGTTTCAGCTCATTCACCTACAGAGTAAAAGATCATTTTAAGGACTCTGATCTTTGACTGCAATAGCCTTACACCACTGACTGTGACCAATCAATCCACACAGATAACGCTCTGTGGAGAATAAATAGTAGAGTTCTCATGTTTGGATGGGGTGAAAAGTCAGTCACAAAAGCACCTTCACAAATCACAGCTGTGTAACTGCAACAGAATAGACAACTGCAGTTATACAAGTCAGCAGAAAGCATCAGTACCATTATGCACTTTTCCTTATGTTTTCCCATTAGCCTAAGTACCTCCTGAGAGCCCAGCAGACAAGGGGGGAAGTGAACACAGAACTTTACAGAAATAATGCAAAACCAACCATGTCCCATTAAATAACAATGGACATCATCTTTTGATAGTTAAGTGCAAGCCACATCCATCTCCCATTCACAAAGTTCAGGATGCTGTCTGAAATAAAGTGTGGTGTAATTCTGGACTGAAACTAAGCAGAAAACATCAGGAAATTGATGTAGTTGTCCTAAAACAGGACAATGCAAATTAAGAAGGGTGCTATTTCTATTTTAGAGTAGAAGGAAATATCTTTACAAACCTTGGTTTACAAAAGGCATAAACAAAGCAAGTTTTCATACAGGCAAATTAGGAAATTTCATTATTGCATTCAACAAGGTCTGAAACAAACTCAGTATTTCTGCTTGCAGTATGAATGTCTGTATTATGACATCTAGAGGTTCTGACCTGCCTCAGGCTTCATGTATCTTGGAAAACTGCCTCAGTACACCTTAGGCAGAGACTAGAATAGGCTTCAGCAAGACAGCAAAGAGGCTGAAATTAGGAAAATACATTCTCATACTGTCCTTCAAGGAAACATACCTGGACTAGGGATGCAATAATGCAAACAAGGAAAGGGGGATATAGATGCATGACTTGGATCAAAGAAGGGAAGCTGCCATTAAATGAAAATTAACAAGCAGAACTGATGCTTCCATGTAGCACTGGACTGTTTCAGTCAAACAAAAACCATAAAATTGTGGATATTCTCAGTTCGGTCAGAGAGAAGAGAAAGATTTCAGTCAGGCTAAGCTTGGGAAAAAGTCTGAGAGGAATCTATTTAATCTATTAATAGATCTATTAATCTATTATTATATATTTATCTATAAAACAATCTATTATCTTGCTTTTTGTTCATATTGTTTATAGATATGTTCTACCACACTGACCTAAGTCCAGTGTACCAATCAGGTGAAATGTTTTTACTTTAAGACCAATGGAATTAATGTTTACGATGTTCTCTATAAAAGAGAGAGGGGCTTTTGAATAAACATTCATTTGCCTTCTGAAATCATATGAGACATTTCGCCCGACCCTGGCTCAAGGGCATCAGAAAATTATCTGAGAAGCAGAAGCAACATGCACACAACACTCCAGAAAACAAATTATTAACAGAATGCAGAAGACTAGAGGATTCTGAGCTCACCTCAAGGGACACTGGAAGAACAAAAGCACAAACCCAACACTATGGACGTCAGGATTTTTACCTTCCAGTCCAAGAAGGAGCAACTACACTAACAGTGCCTACAAGTAATATTTTCATTTATAGAAAAGTTAGCAAAACAACTCTTTTTTTTAATTCAGACTACTTTTCAGTTAATCTGGACTCCATCTTACTTACCTAAGGAAAATCTCTAAGCACCATACTTTGTGGGAAGTATACTCAGAGATCTGTATCTTAAATTCTAATGACTTAGGATCTTATTTCATCAGCCTTCCTACTGTCTAACTGAATGCTGTTTCTGTAACAAGTTTTATATTATTAACACTGGGGTTCATTCAGATTCCCAACTCTATCTTTAGAAATACATATTCATTTTAAAATAATTAAAATGAACAAACAAACCCTCAACAAAAACTAAAAAGCTCCAAACAAACAAAAAACCAAACAAAAACCCCACAAATGGAACCAAAGAAACAAGGGAAAAAAAAAATCATCAAACAAACCTAAAAATCCAAGAAGAAAGAAATTAAGTACTTAAACCTTGGGCTACATGCTGTAACAGCAAAGTAGGCCATATATTTTCACTGATGAAATGGCAGCAGGGCATTCCTGCTTCCAGGAAGACCTAAGCTTAACAAGCTTTGACAGGCCCCAGAAAAATTTAAAAACAAAACCAAGAAAACCCCTACATGTAGGATTATCACAATAGGTCTTAAACCAGTAAGTCACAAGCATTCAGAAGCAGAAGTCTGATGGAACTAGAGACTAGAGGAAAAGAAGGTAACAGTGTTTTCAACTGAATAGTAATGGTGCTAAAACAAAGCAAATTTCCTACAGATTAGGTTTACCTTAGTATCTTAAAAGCAAGGCTCAGTGAATGCCAGTTTTGTAAATGGTTTGTATGATATGTTGTAGAAGTTTTCTTGCAAAGTTAATTGTCCACCGAGGTGTAAGACTCAAGTCAAAGACAAATTTGTGCAATCTTCACTGCAGTAGAATGATACTATTTAACACACATTTCAACTCACCAAATGACAGAACTCCCACATTCAGGAGCTGTCACCTAAATGTATCCTTTAAGCACCATTTTCTCGGCAGAAGTTTTAACAGTATCAAAAACTGAATCAAAGCTCAGTTCCTATCTGTTAGTAAGCCAAGGTCCGTTTCTCGTGGACTATGAAAACACCTTAATTTTTATTGAATAAGTTGTCAAATATTTTATAAGCCTGTTTTCATTGCTCCTTCTGCTGGAAGAGTATGGACACAATAAAAACAGTATGCATATCCATACTTTGGTCTGTGGCAGAGCTGTAGAGACAGACAGGCAGCAGAACCCGCTTCAGGAGGGGAGAAATCAGAATGCTTTCTCAGTCATACTGAAGTCAGGTTATCTACTGGGATGAGTCCATCCAAGTATTGTAGCTGCTGACCAGCAGTTCTAACAGTCTCATTACCTCACTTGAGCATGAGAGAATGTGAAGGACTGTTGGTTGGATTCAAAGCAAACCCAATCAACAGTCTCCCGCCATTCTTCATTAGTCCTACCTAAGCAAGGTGATGGAATTTGAATATTTAGAATTTGGCAAACACTATGAAAAATAACAACACCAGACTTGCTTATGGTACCTTCAAATTTTGCAAATTTCTAGAACTAGAGATACAAAGGTAAAAAATAGTTGCTTTGGACAAAAGGTTATGACCCTAAAAATGTCATGATGCAGGACAAGAGCATCACCAAAGTAACAGATGCTCTTCAAGAGTCTCACAATAGACCTGATGTATTTGTGAGAGATATGATTGCAATCTGATCCAAAACACTGCTCCCCAGAAGTTAACTTGCTAATTCTTCCCAGCTGCTTGGCCCCTCAACCTGCTGCAACCTGCTGTTTTCCTCTTGGATAAAACAGCTTTACACAACCATTTTGTAACACCTAGCATCTCCTACTCTTTATCAAATTCTACAGAGGCTGATGTGATTAAACATAAGGAAGGGAAAAGATGACTACTGAATAACTGAAATAGTTCTGTTAGGAAGGTAGATCTTGACACACAACTAAACACCAAACATCTGTGACAATCTAGAACCTCAGGCTCAAATGGTAAATGAAGAAAGTGAAATCAGGAAGTTGTGTAAGTGTCAGAAAACAAATTCGTGGACCAAAAAAAAGTGAAACATCCTTCTTGTCACATCCTTTGTATAAATTCCATATCCCACTGCTGGAACTGTGTTGCTTAAAATTTTTCTGGTAATGGTATAAAGGACATGGTATCTACACTGGCACCTTATTCAAAGAGTCAGTATCTTGGCTGACTCAAGTCTTGAAAATGCTCTCAGACTTAAGAGACTTTACAGATTAATAGGTGACTTCCTACCCAGAACACACAAAAGCATTTAGATATTCAAACAGGAAAATATACTTTCATACTCTTTGTTTCCCTCCTCCTGAAGCAAGCTGATAGAACCAAAACACTACTTGAAATTTAGACAAACATTCTTGACAATTCTTTGTCAAGGGCCACATATAAGTAAATCTAATTCAAAGGAAAAAAGCAAGCATTCACAAAGACATCGAATGGCAGAAACCTCAAATGGCAGAAAAAGCACTAGTAGCAAAACACTAAAGGAAAAAAACCTAGAAAACTACCCAAACAACCAAACATGATTACAAACATGTAAAGAAACAGATGTGCTAACGCAGATCTTGAAACCAATTTTCCTTTCTCTATCCAAGAAACCTCAAAACAATAGCGGTAGTCCTCTGAGAAGACAATCTTTCACACACCCTGATCAAAAAGCAATTGGCTGAATTTAGCAACTGGTAAAGGCTACACACTATGCCATACACAAACTGTACTTAAAATGTCCACAACACTAAAACAACATGATTGATTTCTAACTGTATTTTACTACAATTAAACCTTCAGAATGACGGTTATGGCAGACATCTTTGGACAACTCTAAATACGTAGACTTCAAAGTATTTAACAGTCTCATTACTACAGAGATAATTATCATGACTGAACTTAGCAGTATGTTTTAGAATGTATATAGTCATGATTCATCACAGTTATTCCACAACTTTACTGCAGTCCAATAGAGGTATGAATATTCTCAGAAGATTTCACAGGCCATTTAGAATGGATTCCACTCTAAGGCTGATAATGCAAGTACCAATAAGTTATCAGATTTTTTTCCTCACAAAGATCACTGAGTGCACAAGTGGATTCTACATGACTACAAACAGCTCAACCAACTGACTAGAGCTAGCTTTCTTTTTCTTTGAAGCAAAATAATACATTTCTTTTTAAAGACTAAAAAAGTAAAATAAAACTCACTATCTCAAGAACTTACCTTCAGACTTCAACTTTGTAAGAACAAAAATCAGGTAGTTGTTGAAATCTGGATACTGATTGAGTTGTTCTAGTTTCTGAAGAGAAAAACTGTTAAGGAAAGTTGAATATTTACATACAACATTTATAGCTTTCTGGATACAAAGATTGTTATGTTTGTTATGCTATGACTAGAAGCTCATGACATACAGAGCATGAACAACCTAAAAACAGTTTCTGTAATTTTCTTACTGAAGGAATAGCTTTTAGTTATGGGGAAGTCTAAAAAATAATCCATGGACAGATATAAAAATTAACAGATCCTTAAAAATATGTGTAAAGCTGTATCATCGGAACAGGCAGCTGAACATTACCAACAACTGCGTAGTCAAATGTATCAAAAATAACAGAAAGGAGGAGAAAGATCTGTATTTAACAGAAACTTAATGAGAAAACACTTAATTGGTCTAAGAAATGAAGACTAGTTCTTAGATCAGTTTTCTTAACAGCTTCTTCACCCACTTAACTTTTCCTTTTTCATTCCCTGAAATATACAATAAATTTAATTGAAAAATATCTGAAACCATAACTTTACTAACAAGGGGTTTTAGCTAACATATACTTCCCACTTCATTGTATTTGACACTTAAACTCTCAAGTTTGGTAAAACAGCATCATAAAGAAACAGCATTGCAGAATAAATATACATACTTTTTGATTTTTCTACAAAAAAATTATGGACTAAGTACTTTAAATTTTAAACCATTAATCACAACTGCTGAGACATGTTATTAAACAGCATCCTAGAACACAACAAACATCACAATTCCTTTTGTATGTGTGTGGAACCTTTATACACACACAAAACCTTTTACCTCTAACCTTTACTAGCCAACATCAACACAGCAGGGAGTTTTCACTATCACTTAAAAAGAATTTCAAGCATTGGTTGGAAGAACTTTTGTTCAGTTAAGTTCTATATATCATCAAGACAGATAGCCTCACTTACACTGCCCATCCTGCATATATGATGCTATAGCTCAATAAACAAACAACACATAAAAAATTATTTGAAGCAAAGCTTTAAAGTGTAATCTTACACTAAAGCTACATTATAAACACTGTTCCTATAAGCACTTTGATATGTTAAATACTAAAGAGCACCAGTTTAAGCTTGGGTCATTATCAGAAGACTACTTCTTTAGACTCTTCTGTTTAGGATTTTTCAAAGAAAGCAATCATATTTTAAAAATTTAGAATACAGATGAAAGAACAAGATGATCAAGATGCAACTGACCTTTACCTTTCAGATAGGAGCAGAAGCCTTCCTGATATTCACTGCATTTGCTACAGAAGTCTAGAAGTGGAGCAAATCTGGCTTAAAGCTAAATTCTTACTATAAATGTATACAGACACACATATGTTGTTACCTACTGAAAGAAATTCTGTTGCCTTCTGTGGACACCTTCAAGAAAATGCCTTAAATAAAAAGAGATCCAGATAACAAACTCCTCACACAATTTCAGCACTTCAATAAATTTCATAGCACTTATGGGTAGCTCACGGGGCAGGAAACAATAGATGAGGCCTTTACTTTTTAAGGCCTGTACTTCTACCAGCCTTAATTTAAAGTTTTACTTTGTCAATCCTTAAAACCTTGCTATTCATTATTTCTATATTGAAGAGTGATGGGGGGTGGGGGGGCGGGGGGGGCCGCGGGGGGAAGAGGAGGGACGGGGGTGAAAAAACCATCAATCCACAACATCAACACCATATCAAAGCAGTACAAGAAAATACATACTGCAGAGCTCCACATTTTCGTGAATTTTAACGAGCCGAGTTTCAGGATCAAGCTTCCAGACAAAAAAACCCCATCCTCACCACACACCAAAATGCGCAGTGTCAGAACCAGCAGGCCCACGAGGGCGCGCAGGCAGCGGCTCTGCCAGCGGCATTACCGCCACCAGCTCCGGCTTTCGCTTCGAATCCCGGCGCCAGATTACTTCGAGCGGCCCCTGCCCGCCGCACCCCTGCCGCGGGGAGAGCGGGCACACCCCGCGGGCCACCCCCGGCCCCCTCGGCGGGACCCGCCGGGCCGAGGGCCCCGTTCCCGCCTGGCCGCTCTGGGGGCTGGGCGGGGGAACCTGAAAGAGCGGCGGATATCGGCGGGGACGCGCCCGAGCACGAGCTTTGAAAATAAATAAATTAATTAAAAAATAAAAAAGGCCCCCTGCGGTCAAACCCAAAGCGGCCCTGGTCTCTGGGCTACCAACAGGTGCCCAGCGCCCGCCGGGCGAAGGCGGCCCCGCGGCCCGCAGGCCGCCCCGGCCGTTCAAACGCCGCGCCACGGGGCTCGGCCCGGCCCGGGCTCGGCCCCCGCGCGGCCGCGGCTCCCGGCCGGGCCGAGCCGGGCAGGCCCGGCCGCCGCAGGGCCGGCCCCGCCGCCGCGCAGGCCACGGTCCCCCCGCCCACCCACGGCCACGGCCACCCCCGCCCCACTCGCGGGGCCCCGCCAGCCTCGGCCAAGGATACTTGTTGCACGGCTCTCTGCGTGGTGGTGTCCGGGGACTGGGACTCCTTGAGCAGCTGCAGGATCTGCTGGAGCCCCTGCTCGTCGGGCTTCCACTCGTACTCCATCTTGGCTGTCTGCAAAACAGCAGACAACAGGCGGCCGCGGTTGGCGGCGCGGCAGGGCCCGGGCGGGGACCGGCGCAGATGAAGGAAGGCCGGGCCGGGGAAGGGGCGCGGCAGTGCCCGCTCCGCTGCGACTCTCGTGCCCCCGCGCACCACAGCAGCCGCTGGATAGACGTAGGACACCGACCTGCTCCCGCTGCCTCCGCGCTGAGCAGAGACTGAGTCACGACGAATTTGTGATCCGGCCCGAAGAGCCGCCTCGCGTCCTGCTGGGTCCTAGCGCCAGGCACGGCTCCGCCCGCCCGGGCCGCCTCGGGACCGCCGGCGCCGCCGTCCGCCTTTCCCCGGTGCGTCCCACACTGCCGGGAGCCTGCGGGCGACAGAACGCGAGCACCTCAATCCTGGCCGACGGGAAACGGGGAGCCCACGCCGCCCACCCGAGAACAGGCAGAAACCTACAGCGAACGCGACAGGCGAGGAGCGCAGGGGCGCCCCGGGCTCGGCCCAGCCCCCTGGGACAGCGCCCGGCAACGAGTGCGAGGCTCCCGCCTTCCTGCGGAACAGAAGTGCGGGCGCGAAATCAGACCCCGGGGTCAGGAACGTGGTGCCTCCTGCCTTCTACGTCATTTGGCTGAGCGCTGAGCACATCTCTGAAGTCCCCAATTCCACGTGTAAAGAAGGAACAGGACGAAGGATGCATGGAAGTAGGGGGAGGTTGGGGCGTGCAAATTACAAAGAAACTGCTTCTTTTTTTTAAGATCCTCTGTATCTTAAACTGCGCCCCAAAATATATCACCGGAGATCTCGGGTTAAAATAAATAATTAAAATACTAAATACATATGTATATATGTAAAATACGCATTACACATGTATGTATATAGTTATTTTATGTATTATACTAACAGAATTCTGTTTAAAACTGGTCTAAAACGTGAAAGTGAAAGCCAGTAATTCTGTTTTTTATAATCTTAGTTTTAGTCACTGTATAAGCCCCTCATTTGACATAAAAACTAGTTTCTGCTGCTTCTACTGCAGTACAGAACTCAGTTGAAACATTGCAATCTCAGCCGTAATAACTGTTCAGAAGTACTGAGAACAGGGAACAATACAGATTCCTAAGGTGTGCATCCCAGATAATTTGCTATATGGCTCTTTGTCTCACTTCCCCAACACTGACTGTCTGGTCCAAGGTGCTGAGAAGCATCCTTAACTAACTTTTCTTCTATTACTATGTGATGCTGTTCTTGAAGGAGACAAAATCTGTATTGCAACTACTGCTGTAGTTATCACAGGACTTTTTGGGAGACTACAAAAGCTGAGCAATTCTTGAGAGTTTGCAGCATCTAAACAAGATTAAGTCAGTAAGGCAGGTACGTAACAACATACCACTAATTAATAGAAAAGGATAAGCACAAGATTTACATGAGATTTTTCTGATCAGGGTGAATCTCCACTCATTTCCCTTGAGTATAGGAACATGTCAAAAGAAAAGGATTTTGATCCAGACCATTAAAACTGATGTTAATGGCTCCCACTGTATGGGCAGGAGAGATCTTTCTGGGATGCATGCATAGCTGGAACAGATGAAAGCTGAAGTCCAACAAATAAGGGAAGAGCCAATGTGGGCTCCATTCACCTAACTGTGCCTTAGCAGTAAGGTCGTAGAAACTTGTTTTTTCTTTGAGACTTCTATCCCACATCTGTCAAGTCTGTTTGAACTTGATTAGAGCTTCAAAAATTACTATTCAGAAATTTTGACACAAGGATTATATCTGTCTAATATTTTCTTGAAGCAAAGTGTGCTAAAGAAGTACAACATTAAAGACGAGAAACAAGGAAAATAAAGGAAGATTGAGAGACAACTGGAAAGAGCAGGTAGAGAAACATGGCATGGATCCATAACTAAGAAGAATGTAAGTTTTCTTTCCAAGAATGTAACTAGAATTCAATCCTGGCAAGAATTTCCACTTCTGCATTGGAAAGGACAGAAAAAAAAAACCTACAAATTGTAGGTTGAATGGAGTATGAATGGAGCCTCTACAGAAGATCTGTAGTGAGGATATCTAAGTGCTTTACATGATCATCCTCTAAGACAGGTAATAATTTTTGAGACATTATCAAGATGAGAAGGTATTCTGCAAGATAAGGTGCCTCCTTCAGCATCTATATATGAAACCTGTATGAAACCTGAGGAAGAACCTATCTCTAGTCCTCAAAAATTATGTAAATAAGCAGAAATCAAAATAATTTGACTGAGACAAGGAAAAAACCTTCAGTTGAAAGCATTACAGAAAAAAAAAGGAGAAAATTGTTTATTTCTGTATTGCATTTATATATCTGTATGCTATGCATTTTTTGTTTTCTACTACCTGTTTTCCTCAATCAAGAATCTTCTTGTATAGAAAATAAATCAGAATCAATGTTAAACAAAGTACCCAGGGTATGAATGCTACCCTCCAAAATACAGCCTAGTTCATCCCACTTGATCAGGAAAATGCAGCAGAACTAAATTTGTCACACTTCATTAAGATTACAGAAGATCTCTGAAGAGAGAAGCCTTAAAAATGCTGAGGAATATTTGATTTCTCTGTTATCCAGACTTCAGGTGTCATGCACTAGGCATAATCCACTGTTATCACAATGTGTAAAATTGAAAACAAACAATTACATGCCCAAACATCTGTATCTTTAAGATCTTTCTCTGTTCACAGATCTTGCCATTTTCTACTTAAGTGTCCACAAAAAGTGTCCATAAATTTTTTTTTTCTGTTTTCTTGACCTCTTCCATTTCCCTCCCAGAATTCTCCATTAAGGATGAAATGACACATATGTGGCATACAAGGAAACAAAAGTAATGGCTACAATATGTACTACTGCTAAATGATTAAAAATCCAGTTTTTTAGAGTAGTAGCTGTGAATATATGAGACAGACTTTGATTTTTTTCTTCTTCCCATGGTAATTAACCCAATACTTTTTCTGCAGTGTCCTTACCATTACTTTAGAGTGCATTTGGTGCTCGGTCTTTTAATCTCTCCTGCTGCTTTTCATTATGTTATAAACAGAGACTAACAGGAACTTGGATTAGAATCTGGTTTCTGATCAGCAACATGCATTAATTGACACTCAAAGCACATACAGCCAGAACAAATAGGAGATCCATAATAGAATACCCACCCCATCCCTCCATAGTCTCACTGCACTTACAAAAGAAAGAGGAAACTGGTGCAAATCCCTCCCAGCAATCAAACAGAAAAGAGACTGAGATCTGCACTGCTAGGATGATGTCCCATCCCTCCAATGCCATAGACTCCAAGTCATATATTTGGAAACTACAACTTTTCACTGCCACTGGTTTTGAGATTAGTTTCAAGTAATTATTCTCTAGTATAAATTAATTCTCAAAGTAGTCCTAATTTCAGAACTGTTAGACAGTTTCAGCCACTTAACCCTTCAGAAAAATTTTCCCATTACTTAGTTTTATTCCATTGATAATACTGGAATTTTTTTTAGTTTTTGAGAGAACACTAATAACATTCTTCTTGCCATAAAATCCAGGCACTGCAACCCATAATATTAGTATTTAATAATGGTAATCAGTCATTCAATCAATTGCTAAAATCCAGCCTTTTGAATTTCCACACAAACTGCTTACAGTATTTTTCTGCAAAGGATTGTATGCACAGAGGAAATAACACATATTTCGTAACAGCTTTCTGTGTAAACCCTCTTATGTCAAGCTAAGAGTGATGTAGATTAAGAAAAGCAGACAAAAAGCTCTCATAACACAGAATAAATGTGTTTATGTAAAGGAGCTCATGCAGAATAGCTACTGCTATACTATTTTGCAATGCTTTGTGCCTGGAGAAATGCCCTAAGCTTTCACTTCAAAAGAATACTGGTAGTCCTCACATTCAACACATCAAATGAGCATCCATTCTAAAATATTTGATGCAGTCTGAGTTCAGTCATATTATTAACAAGAGTAACACTTGTTACACAATTAATTTGAATAGTCTTAGGAAGAAGACAGTTTGACCCTGTGAAGCACCAGAGAGGTTAATAAGGAGATGCTATGAAAACAGTTTGAAAGGATTTTGTGTTCCTGACTGAAATGTCTATGAAATTATTTTTCTATGTTTCCAGGGCTGATTGGTTATGATATAAGGATTATTTTAAGCAGAAACAAAGCAAACTTTAGAATAATATTTTTAAGCTGGAGTCTCAACATTACTTTGTGTTGAGTTGTATAGAAATTGGAGACAGAAGAGGCTGTAGGCTGTTTTCTAATGCAACACTAACCAATTCCACTATTGCAAGTGTAATTCTGTTGAAGGTAGAACATTGTGATTAAGACTGGCACAAAGAATACTAAGTTGCCAAATGCACTAGCATCTCTTCCTGGTAACTAAGGTTGCAAAAAAATCTCTCATTTTTAAGAGACCTTCAGTGTTAACTGGAAGACAAAAAACCAAGAGGAAAACCACCTAGCAGAAGATAAACCAAATGCAATATGATGCATCATATAATCGTAAGCCTTGGTCTAAAGAAAAAAGTTTTGTGAAATGTACCAAACTAAGAATGTACTTCATTGGTAGGATTAAGAATATCTTTAAAAATAATTTTTTTCTTACCTACAGACAGAATTTCTTCTACCTCTGAGGAGCAATTTGATAAAAACATTCAAGGCAGCAAATGTATGGGCTTTGAGGTAATATAACTTCAGATTTGTGTACCTATTGTGTAATATAACTTCAGATTTGTTAACTGACCTTTGTTTCCTACCATTATTCATTCTCTCTGGTCAGTAGGTCTAGAAGCAGAATAACTGAAAAAAAACAAGAGAAATAATTTTCTACCTTACCCTCCTGAGATAATTCTAGCTAAAGTTCATCTTATGTTGTGCATGAAACTAGAAATTGTGTACGTGTACCAATATTCCCATAGAACAACATCTTGCAATGAAGCTAAACTCAAATTTCCTGGAGCACTGGCATTTCAATATTCAAGGCAAATAAATCTGTAATGTGATTTGCTGTCTGTAGAACATCATCAATTTGATGATAGACTTTTTCTGAGGGTATCTATAGTTACAATAACACATCTGTTTATGAAATCTGTTACACTGTTGCCAGTGTGAAATGGAGAATTGTTAAGGCTCAGCTTCCATGATTTCATGGCTTCTGTTCTCAAAGGTGAGGAGCGGTATTTATTTTTGCAGATATTGTCTGCAAAAGCTTGCACTGTGGAATTCCATTGAACAGACGAAATAGTACTCAGGAAATTTGACAGCCTGTAATTTCACTCTACTGATGGAAGTACATTACCTCTTTGTTTAATGAATAGCTCTGCTTCTTATGCATCAAATGA